ATGTGAATACAAATATGTCTTGATGAAAGGGATACAGATGTCCGATTAATTTGAATTTTTATAAATATATTTTACTCAATATTTATTTATACTATTATAAAGTGAACAGGAACTTTGGTGACCATGGGTTTAAGTACGAGGACTCATACCACTTAAGCTAAGTATACATTATAATATTAATTTCATTATTATTTTTTTTTATTCCTACTTATTTAAATTGCACACACATCGTGTGTGCCGCCCACTAGTATTCTAAAAAGTAAACAGTTTGGATCGTCGAAATGAGACAAAAAAAAGACTCTATTGACTGCGCAACAGTAGCTACAACGCACCATAACAGTGATAGTTGGAGGTGGTGAAATAATTAAAGTAAATTAATGGTAATTTTGTCTCGAAAAAATTAATGTTCTTCAACTAATAAATATATTTTAGTTTTTCTGAAATTAATACAAAATATTTTCTAGATAACTGAGTAAAAAAATCTCATTTCTTTTTCTGAAATTAAATAATTTTTATCAAGATTCACAAAATAAATAGATAAAGAGTAAAAGTTGATTGACATATATGATTGCTATATATTATCTACTGAACTCTAACGTAAGACAAATTATAATTAAAAAACCAATGGTAAAATATACTTATGCTTTATTATAAGTGCATTTTTTTTATCATACTTAATACAAAATATTTTCTTGGTAACTATTAAAAAATCTCATTTCTTTTAGTGTTAATCAATTTTATTGAGATTCATAATAAATAAATAAATAAATAAATGATAAAAGTTAATTGACATATATGATTGTTATATTATCCACTGAACTCTAACCTAAGACAAATTATAATTAAAAAGCCAATGATAAAATATACTTTTGTTTTATCACAGGTGCATTTTTTATAATTGAGAATTGTAGATTAAGTTTCTTAATATTAAGACTTTATAAAATAAAACGAGATGTAATATTTTTATAATAATTTGTGTCCCTCAACATTTTTAGGGTTGGTTTGGGAAGTGGGTTGGTTTTTTGGCTTTTTGACTTTTTTGGCTATTGTAACTTGGGCTAAAAAGCTTGGTTTGGGAAGGGCTTTTTGGCTTTTTGACTTTTTTTGTGAGAGAAAAGTGTAATGATTATGGGTTGGATGTGATATTTTATTTTTTGTGGCTAAAATAGCCTATTTTATTTTTTGTGGCTAAAATAGCCAAAAAAGCCTCAACCAAGGCTTCCCAAACGAAGCCATACAGACAAATTTGGGCTCTATTCAGAGCTTGATTTGAGCATAATGTTTGTTTAGGATTTTCAAAAATTAATTATACACTCACATTTGAAAACATGGTCGAAGGCGAGAGAATTTATGCTAACCGGTTGTCCCACCGAACGTCCTACTAGACGGCAGGCCAATTGACCGGAACAGTCGGAACAGTGCAAATTTTTTTTTTTTTTTTGGCAATTGACACATGTTAATTTTTATATATTAAAAAAAAAATATTTTCTGAATTTTTAAAATTTTTATGAGCTTTAATCAGTGTGTTTGGTTTGAGTTTTTTGGATTAAGTTTTTTGAAAACTGAGTTTTTTGGTTTTTGTATTTTTTTATTTTTAGTGAATATTTTTAAAATTTTAAATATTTTTTTTTTACTTTTTTAGATGCATCTTATTTTGATGTATCTAAAAAGTAAAAATTTTGTGAAAAAATATTTTTAAAAATTAATAAATACATAAAAATACAAAAAAAGTACTGAATTCTCGTATTTTTTTTTTGTATTTTTGGTATTTAGTGAATTTTCAAAAGGTTTCTTTCACAAATTTTTTACTTTTTAGGTATATTTATGTTAGGCATGTCTAAAAAGTAAAAAAAAAAATTTGCTTAAAATATTAAAAAATTCAGTAAAAACAAAAGAACACGAAAAATAAGAAAGTAAAATTTTCTGAAAAGAGTTTTTGAAAAACTCTAACCAAACATGTTGAATAGAATTTTGAGTTGTGTTTTTGATTATGAGTTGTAAGTTTTTGTATCAAATATCATCTGTCACATCAAAAATTTCCCACTCAATTCAAACATTTTTTCAAAACTCATTCACCAAACAAATTTTTCACACTCAAATTATAATTTCAAAACTCACAAACTCAAAATACAACTCTATTTTTGAATCATATTTAGAAAACTCTACCAAACACAACCTTGATTTCACAAAGAAATTTTAGTTTATCATAGAGAAATTTGAAGTTTCTCTATAACGAATCAAAATTTCTTTAACAATATTATAGAGAGATCTTAATTAATAAGAAAAAAACATATTACACCTCCCACTATCAAAAGTTGAAGACAGATAATTCACTAATTTTCTTTTATATTTTACCTTTATATATTTATTTTTTATCAATTACTCCGTTATACACAAATTTTTATTATTTGATAATACTTCCAACATATCATTAATGATAAGTTTTTTTTTAAGAAAAAAAAAAAAAGAAGTCACAAGGGTAGGTATCATAAAAATAGCTAAAGCCTCCGTTTGGAAGGTGGATTGACTTTTTGACTTTTTTATTTTTTTAACTATTTTAGTCTGGGCTAAAAAATTTGATTTGGGAAGGGCTTTTTGACTTTTTTTTGTGAGAGAATAATGTAATGATTATGAGTTGGATGTGATGCTTTGTTTGTTATGATTAAAATAGCCTATTTTATTTTTTATGGCTAAAATAGCTAAAAAAACTTGAAAACCTTCTTCTCAAACGGTGCCAAAATTTAATTTTTCTAAACTATTTTTTCATAATAATTATATATGTTGGACTTTTCAAGAAATTAAATGTCTTCTTTTTTTATTATATTATATTAAAGTTTAATATTTTGATAATAATTATATATGTTGGACTTTTCAAGAAATTAAATGTCTTCTTTTTTTATTATATTATATTAAAGTTTAATATTTTGATAATAATTATATATGTTGGACTTTTCAAGAAATTAAATGTCTTCTTTTTTTATTATATTATATTAAAGTTTAATATTTTGATAATAATTATATATGTTGGACTTTTCAAGAAATTAAATGTCTTCTTTTTTTATTATATTATATTAAAGTTTAATATTTTGATAATAATTATATATGTTGGACTTTTCAAGAAATTAAATGTCTTCTTTTTTTATTATATTATATTAAAGTTTAATATTTTGATAATAATTATATATGTTGGACTTTTCAAGAAATTAAATGTCTTCTTTTTTTATTATATTATATTAAAGTTTAATATTTTGATAATAATTATATATGTTGGACTTTTCAAGAAATTAAATGTCTTCTTTTTTTATTATATTATATTAAAGTTTAATATTTTGATAATAATTATATATGTTGGACTTTTCAAGAAATTAAATGTCTTCACTTTTTTTTATATTATATTAAATTTTAATATTTTGATAATAATTATATATGTTGGACTTTTCAAGAAATTAAATGTCTTCTTTTTTTATTATATTATATTAAAGTTTAATATTTTGATAATAATTATATGTGTTGGACTTTTTAAGAAATTTTTTTTTTATGTTTGTTCTTAATGCATTAAAGTGTCATTATGAGGGATAATAATCATATGTGTTAGGACTTTTCAAGGAATTCATGTGTTGGATTTCAAAGAATTTTTTTCATGCTTGTTCTTAATGCATTAAAGTATTATTATGAAGGTAAGACTTGGGGGTTGAGAGAAATTAATAAATGCTAAGGTTTTTTTTTTTTTTAAATAAAAAAACCAAGAAATTTAGATTGACATATTGGAGCTCCCACAAGCCTTGGGGTTAAAAACCCCCTTTTACTTAATATATAGTATAGATGCTAACCCTATCTTGATTTTTTAATATAATGTTAGTCAGTCCAATGTCTTTTTCATTAGTAATACAATATTTATTATGAGAGAATTTTTATTTTTTATTTTTGAGAAGATAGTTAAATTTTTTTTTGATTGAACGTGATTTTTGTGAAAAAAAAAATAAAATGATTATGAAATTGGATGTTATATTTTATTTGAACGTAATGTTTTTAATTTTGTAAAATTTTTTTCTTTTGGTGAAAAAAAAAAAGAAAAGAAAAGAAAAGCGCAAGCGCCAAACACCACCATAATAAGGTTATTCCCATCGTATCTTTTTCATTAGTATTAAAATACTTGTAAATATTGGTTTTCCTTGTTTTTAAGAGAATATTCCATATTAATGACGGGTAAACCACAACTTCACAAAATTAGTCATATTTTTTTTAAAAAAAATGCACTCAGTGTATATTTTCAATTTTTTTTTTTTTTTTTACAAATTAGTGATTGATTTTATCAATTTAAAAAATTAAAATTAAAATTTTTTAATGAATATATAATCTTTTTTTGAGAGACAATTTGTTAAATTTTCAATTCTTTTGAGTACAGTCTTGAGAAATTCTGTGCAAGTTTCTTCTGTTTATTCCTTTCGTTATTGGGCCTTTGACCATGTCTCAACTCCAACGCTAAGGTATCAAAAGTTTCCAAACTTTTCCAACGAGTCCGTTAATAAAATTTCAAGTCCTAGTTCAAATCCGTGACGTCATACCTGCAACACCACAAAACAACTAAAAATAATAGTAATGAATAAATAAATCAAATCAAATAAAAAAAATAAAAAACAAAAGTGAAGAAAAAGTAAACGAAACGTACCTCACACGAAATGCAACCAAAATATACGAATATACGGCGAAGGCATACGTACGTGTATACAACCAACATACGATTACGGCGAACGGAACGGAACGGAATTACGACGAAACGGCAAACGGAACGGAAGGCAATTACGACGGGACGCCGAACGGGACGTTACACACAACGGTAATCCCAACGCTTAAAGACGGGACTAAACGGAACGAAACGGGTCATGCTATGGCTTGACAAACCAAACACCACTGATCAACAACACATCTTAATTAATTCCTTTATCTGAATTAGATCTCCGTCCAGATTTTAAGTTTTATCGGTTTGAATTGACTGTAAATGTCCAAAAACGTCCTTCAATTGCTATCAATTGCTGTAAATCATGTGTACAAGGGGATTGGGGGAGTTTGTATTTATGTCTCAAAAAATTCTCAGGGTTTTGTATCGCAGTCGTACAAAATCTGCATCTAAATTCGCCGAAATCCGATACCTTCGCCGAGATCTGACACCATCGCCGGAAGAACTCAAAGCCTTCTTCCTACAAAAGACTAAATCAAAAGAACCAACCTGTAACCGATTGGTGTTCAGAGATCGTCGGCTTTGGACATGATCGAGAGCCGACTCGGTCTCGGCTGAAAATCATCTCTTCGTTTCTGCTGATGCGACGATGGCCGAATCAATTGCGCCAACGCTCGCTTCACTAGATCGCCTTCGACTGTTCCGATGCGAACGAGTGAGTTCGCCATCGCCGATCTGCGAGCGTTTAACCGATTAGGCGAGTACGAAATGGAGTGGCCAGTGTTGCAATTCTTGTGAAGACTACACCGGAACGATCCCGGATGATTCGTCGGCGAGCACATACAGGTCCTCTTCGGGAGATTCGACAACGGATTGTTGTTCTGCTTCCGAACGACCTGGTCTCGAGGCGAGGCCGCCATCGAACGGCTAGGAGACTTGGATCTATCGATCGAAAACCGGACTGACGGAGCGAGTGGAGCGAATCCATGAAGGTTGACGCGCGTCGGGGAAGATGGACGGTTGAAGAAACCGGTGGAGGGAGAGGAACAGAAGCTGGAATTCGTGGACGAAGCGTAGAACGACGACATCTCGGATGACGATGAAGAGCCAAACCGACCAGACGGTGAAATTGATCGCCGAAAGGCCGATGCGATTGGTAGAACTGGTCCGCTTGATCTTCTAGACGAGGTCCCCATTGTTAAAGCTCGAGAGAGAGAGAGAGAGAGAGAGAGAGAGAGAGAGAGAGAGGATTTTTAGATGATTTTGCTCACAAGGGCCCTGGGGCTCTTCAGTTTGGCAAACCTAGCTCACCTCAAACGCTACATTTATGGATGAGGAGAGGGAGGGCAAGTGGTAATTATTGGGGAGTTTTGAGGGTTGTTGTGTGAGAGATTATTCTATTTGGTAACCTAACCGTGGTTAGATTAACCAGAGATGGAGGTTAGGGTTTTTGAGATTCTGATCCGACGGTTGGAGAGTAACGGGTAAAGCAGAAAACGACGGATCTGGGAGCGGTTTGGCTAACTGCTTTTTGTGGGGACTTGGAGGGGGGGGGGGGGGGGGGCGCCCCCGTTTACCCCAAATCTTTCATGCATGTATGCAGAGTGAGTTTGGAACCCAGCTGAAAAATAACTTTTATTTTTAAAATTTTTGGGTCTGTGATTTATTTATTTTTATATTTATTTTTTTTTTAAAAAAAAAACTGTAATAAAAAATTAGATAAATTACACCTGACATAATTTTTAAAAAATACAATAAATTCCACAATTTTGATTTAATTACATTGTTATTTATTTTAGTAAAATCTAATCTGGAGTCTAAGCCTAGCGGAATTTGTCTAAATTCTAGCTTGAACCTGATATCTTCCCCTAAATTTTTTTTTGTATATAGATAGATATCAAATTATCATATTTATTTGGTACTTTTATATTGGAGAATTTGATAAGATATTTAAAATAAAATAAAATATATTTATATTTAATTTAATTTAATGCATATTTTTTTCTTTTTTCTTTTTTTCTAAATTTCTTACAAAATCTTTCAATTAAACATAGAGTTAGGAGTTATTATACATTTTTATTTTTCATGACAAGGATGATAAAAATAAATAAATAAGTAATATGATTTAAAAAAATAAAAAATTATATTACAATAGGTCTTTCCAAACAACCCCTTATTGTTCATGTATGAAAAATATTAAAATGTTGGAAATTTCTTTTTAAAATATTTATGAATTTTCTAAATATATTTTACGTATTTTTTTAATACATATTAAATAATTTTAAAGTAAATTATACTTTTTTTTTTTATAATTTTGATATAATTATATTGATTTCTCTTTTAGAGTTTTGACAATAAGAAATTTTAGTTAAAAAGTCAAAAAAATGATTACAAAAAAATCAATTTTTTATTTTTTTTTCACGTCTGTTTTTATAAAACAAATAAAAAAAATTACTAAAAAAATCAATTTTCAAAAGGGCAAATTACATATACCCCTCGAGGTTTAGCTAAATTACAGATACCCCCTGAGGTTTCGAAAATTACATCCCACCCCTTGAGGTTTGTATTTTCATAACAATTTGCCCCCTGAGGTTTATATTTCATAACAAATTACCCCCTAATTTCTTATGCAAATATAGCATTCAGGGAGGAATTCGTAATTTCCGAAATCTCAGGGGTATCTGTAATTTAGCCAAACCTCGAGGGGTATATGTAATTTGCCCTAAATTTTTTCCTTCTAATTTTAATAAAATTAAGAGATCATATATTTATTTTATCAATACTCATAAATAAATAAATAAAAGTTGTACTTTGTCAAAATTTTTGGCGGAACCGGTACAGCCTTGCGTTTGAAGGCGCAAAGGGGTACTATTTCAGTCCTAATCATAATTCTTTTTGTTTTTTTTTTTTCGATTCAAAATACAGAAATACTATCCTTTCATAAGGAATAAGATTCACGTATATAGAATTTACATGTAGAATTTTTCCCTTATAAGAGAATTATGTGTCATTCTCTATTTAAATTTTGTATTCCTAACTTTAGGTCTCGTTTGGCAAGTGATTTTTTAGTCAAAAAGTCATTAAAAAAATCATCCCAAACATATTAAAAAGTTAAAAATTCAAAAATTCTCTTTTCTCTCTATTTTTTTACACATCTTTTCGTAAAAAACTAAAAAATCATTCAAAATATATTAATTTTTTTTACATCACATTTTAGTTAAAAAATTAAAAAATTATTAAAAAAATTTGTTCCTAAACGAGACTTTAATGTAGCCCAAAACAAGCTAATGCATAAAAAGTCTAAAATAAATTTGTTGTGTTAGTTGATTTGGTCGGCAGTCAGTGAAATACGTACGCAAGAGGACTAATAAGTAAGTCATAGTGTTTATTTTTTGGGCAAATTACAAACACCCCCTCGAGGTTTGGTAAAAATATAGATTCTCTTCTGAGATTTGAGAAATTACATTCCACCCCCTGAAGTTTATATTTCCATAACAAATTACCCCTGAGGTTTTTATTTTCATACAGATTCTCCCCTAATTTGTTATGTAAATTTGACCTCCAGGGGGCAATTTGTAATTTCTCAAACCTCAGGGGGGAATTTGTATTTTCACCATACCTCGAGGGGGGTGTTTGTAATTTGCCCAAAAATTTACAAAAAAAATTCTAACATTTGACTGTTACTATTTTGAATTTTATTAATTTAAAATCTAATTTTTTTTATTTGTTTTTAATTTAAACCATCAACTTTTATTTTCAATAAAGTAAAAGTAATAGAAAATAAATTTTAGTTATTAAACTCAATTCAAGTGTATTTAAATTGTCTAAAATATTATTTTTCTCTCAGTTTTACATAATAGAAACAGACATATTGTTTATATTAAAAACAAATCAAAAGTTTAGAGTTTAAATTGATAAAATTAAAAATTTGAGATTTATTCTGTTATAAGAGTTAAATCTTGAGATTTTTTTTGTAACTATCCCAAATTAAAATTACTTAATTAATTATATATTTTTAAATATTTCATATTATATAATGTGATGCTCTCTAATAAATTTTACTGAGTCAATTTTATTAATATAAAAGGTAAATATTACTTCTTAAAAAAATAAAAATTAAATATATTTTTTATTTGTTAGATTATGTTAATCAATAAAATCACTTAAAACAATAACTTAATTGATTATATTTTAAAATCTAATCAATAGTTCAAAATTTAGAGAAAAATGAAAAAAAAAATACTTGTTAAATTTATTTATTTTTCTTCTTGTGAAATACGTCTTTCCTTGTTTACGGTCAAAATTGTTTGACATTAGTGCACCTGTTCTAGACAGAATATCTAATTCTGCGTTCAAAAATTTTATTTTTCTTAACATTGCCTGGTTTGAATTAGGGATGTAACTCGGGTGGGTTCAGCTAGGTTGAGAGGTTATCCAAACCTAGCCTAAGTTGTGGTGAGACTTGTCCAAACTTGCCAAAGCCCTAATTGTAACTCAAAATTGTCAGTCCAAGCCCGATCTGAGTTAAACTCAAATTGTTCGAATTACACATAAATTTTAGTGTTTTTTTAAATTAATTTGTTAAAATTCGACTCTATTTACATTTGCTTAGAAAATCATTAATAACATCAAAACAAATAATTGATAGTCTTTAAAATTTATGAATGAAAATAAAAAAAGATAATATTTTTTATTATATTATTTGTGTATAAATATATATTCGATATGATTTAATAATTTAATTTTTTTTAATATCTTGTAATAGCTAATAATTTATATATATTTAATATTTTTGTATATCTATCTATATATATAATTTGAGTTTTAGATTGTTTGATATTTTTGTTTAAACTCGTTCAAATTTAATTTAGATTTTTAAATTTTTGATTAAGACTAATTCAAAAATATTTTACCCAAACTCTAAAAAAAATTCGAATTGGACTCACGTTGTACTTAGATTGAACTGGTCCAACATAGGACACAAAGCTAAAGAGTGATGGCGAAATTGGTTCTTGTCAAAAACAAAAACTAGAAAAAAATGGTGAAATTGGTTCAATTTCTAGCTCATACTGCATCATATTTATGATTGATCGATTGGTTTTCATAATTTTACTTGAAAGTTATAGAATAAATTATATTGAATTCTCATGAGATTTAAAAAATATATAATAAGTTGTACATTTTTAAAATATTTACATTGAATATTGTTAATATTTTAATTCATATAACACTTCATTTTTGTTTATTTAATAATTTGTTAGTTATATTAATGCAAAAATAATGTTGTCATTTTTTTTATATGAAAATATATATTATTTTTTACAACTTTTGCGTGGAAAAAATTAATCACATTTTACGACGTTGTTGGGTTGGTTTGAACTTTGAAGGAAAGTTTGCCTAAAAACATTCAAGAAAGAGGAACTTCGGCGGGTGGTCAGCTAAGAAATTCTTTGATGTCTAAATTAGGTTTGGTTTGGCTATGATTTATTTTTTTAATTTTTTTTACTTATTACAAAAAGACATATAAAAAAATAGAGTGATAGGATGATCAAAATAAGTCAATAAACTGCTTTTGTTTTATATTGCCAAAACAAGTTTGTATATAAGTGAGAGGGTAATTTATGTGGAAATTGGGTCGAGCTAAGTGATGGGCTGTTCTCTGGGCTACAGTGAGAAGGACTAAGTAAAAGGGCCTGATAGTTAGCCCGGTCCCAGAGAACCTTGCAGTTAGCTCGGTCACCACGGTCGGCACGGTGGCATTTAGCTCGGTCAAACCGTCTTAAGCCGAGGTATTGTTGGCTTCTGCTTAGGATCTTACTGTTAGATAGCTCGGTCCAAGCTCATTGTGGATAGCACGGTTTCAGACAACCTAGTTGGAATATGTCAACCAAGGTACACGCTCAGTGTAAGGAAAAACCGAGCTAGTTGGAGCTCGGTCTAGTCTGCGGCTTTAGCATGGCCAAGTTATTTTGATCATAACATCCAACCGTGGTAAAACCATCTCATTTGGTTTAAGCAGTGAGGGGGTGTTGAAGGATAAGCATTATCTTTCAGGAATGTGATTCCTAGGATAACTCTATATGGAGAAGTAAGAGTCCCACTAGGATTGTGCCACACGGAACCTATAAAAGCTCATAACATCACCTATGGAGAGGTAACACAACTTTCATTCCCAAATATACAGAGTTTTTTGTCTATTTGTCTATTTTGCTGACTCAGGCATCGGAGAGGTATCCGGCACACACCTACCGGCTAACTCACGTTTGTGTTTTCAGGGAGTAAAGCGACGTCGTACGGAGGAGCGC